AAATTATCGTATTGTCATCCAAAACGATCGTGTACTGAAAATGTTAGCTCAATTGAACGCTTTAGAATATCAGATAAAAGCTTTTAAAGATTTTAACCATACACAATTATAATGTCAGTTAAAAAAAACCATTAAAAATATTGGTATCCAGTTGTAGTTGCAGTATTTTCTGCAAAAGGTAACAAAATTTTTGGTGCATTTTTCATCTTAAAATTTTTTTCTCTGTTGGATAAGGCTTTTTCTGTTCAGATTTTTTCTTAATCTAAACATTATTCTAAATTAAAAAGCTCGTTGTCATTTGCCAATTTTTATCTTAATATGGACTGAATTTTAAAATCATTCCTAAAGAAGCACTTTCGCATGTAAGGAGTGCATTAAAGAAAAGAATAGCTTTTATATAAGAAAATCAATAACAAATAGACTTCCATAACATTATATTAATCGCATTGTAAATTTTTTTTATATTTTTATTCCTTTTATAAGTTTATTAGATATTAATAAATGGCAATACCAAATAACATTATTCATAGTAGGAAGAATAAACGGTTAAATCAAAATAACATGATTCGTGTGTTAACTTACGGTTGCAGAAAGTTGAGAGGGGGAGAGAAGGTATTTTCAGAAATTAATAAATCATTACTTATTTATGTTTTATAATAAACTGTTTGAATACATCAAAGGGGGAATCTTGTGAAATCCAATCGAAAAATAACTAGTAAAATATAATTTTAAATTTTGTATCTACTAAAGTAACCTGGTAGGTAAGTCGTAAATTTCATGGGCTATGAGTCATCAATTTGCATCCTGATATCACTCAACACGTCAAGGAGAATAAAGGGAATGGGTTGCTCATTAAATCGATCCTGAACCGAAAAGTCTTCGTGAAGCTTGTTGAAGGAATTTAATGAGTTTCAAATCTGTTCATGTGTTTTCTAGATCTAGAAATATTATTCTAAAACAAAAAGCTCGTTGTCATAATCCAATTTTTATCTTAATGCAATGTTAGTATCTTTGGAACAAAATAAGGTCAATTTAAATGTAAATCTGTAATTTCTCTTTAATTGTTTTCTGAAAATTATTAAAACTTCTGATTTTGACCATTTCGAAACGGGTTTTAGCAGTCTTTTTCAGTCTTTTAGCAGACTTTTTTCGGTCTGCAACTATTGGTTAGGAAAGGAAGTATTTCATGAAAAAATTTCTTTGAAACACAGATGATGAAACAAAAAAGAATAAAATCTACTTAGTCACTTCAAACGAAATTATCTTGTTAGAGAATGCACTTAAATGATAGTAATTATAACAACTTTTATATCAGAGCTTAGAAATTCTAAGAAATTAATATCTGTTTTACTTAAAAGCCTCAGTTTAATTGCGTTTACTCTTCGTAAATGAATGCTTACTAAAGTAATCTGGTAACTAATCTCATACTTCATCTTTTGAGCTTTTTGAATCTTTTTAAAAAGAATAAAACACATTACTCAAACTTAATTTGCAGATTTTATAACTTAGCTTTTAAGGGTTTTATAACTCCTCTTATAGTTAACATTCATAATTTATGAATGTTACAAGAGGAGTTATAAAATCCTTAAAATAAACCAAGCGAGAAATGAAGGAAATCTAACTCGAAAAAATTATTTCATGATTTTAACTAATAAACGAAATTCCATATCTTGTAAAGATGTTAATATCTACAATTCCTTTGTAATGACATTATATCAATACCAAAGGCAAATAAAACAATGTTTCTTCCAAAAATTTGATTCGGTATTCAAATTATTTTAAACAGTATTTAAAATTTTGCAGCTTGTACGTGATTTAATTTATTTAATATTAAATATAGTTAACGCTTAAATTTGTGAAGTTTAAAAAGAATTTAACTTAACTAATAGTAAATAAAACGAAATCTAAGAAATATTTAATACAATATGCTACATTTTTAACTATAAATAACTTCAAAATTCTGAAATAAGTTCTGAATGAAGTTCAAGTTCTTACGTTAAACAAAAAAAAATCTTATTCTTTTACACTATTATTATTCATATTTCTCATAATTGCTTTTTGTAAATTACAAAAAAAGCAAATATGCATGAAAAATAAAATATCTTGTCATATATGCTGAAATAAATGAAATCATCAGAGCTTGATAAAAATTCTGTAATGTTATTCCGAATTTTTATGTAATTTAAATAACTATTAGAATACTCCTTCTCGAAATTGAACTTATGCTTCGGGTGGTGTTTTCTGAAGTTCCTGTATCAAAGGTCTATTGGATATTGGAAATGAACTCGGTTTCCTGAAAGTCAAAGACATTAAATTGAAACCTTCTCCCTTAAGGGAAAATGGTACCTTGCATACGAAAACAGTGTCTGGGAACCGCACTTCAGAATCTCAGATTTCAGCTGCCATTGCATGTAAGAAAAAAAAATATTTGAATATATTTTTTACTTATTAATCTGTACGATCATAATTATACATATTAATTTCTCAATGATTACGTGTAAAATGCAACGATATAATTATGATTGACTCTATTTTTGTTTCTATGCGTTATTTCATGAAATGTATGAATAAGTTGCTTTAAAAATGTAGAAGATTAATATGATCCATCAATGGATACCGCAAAATAGATATTTGTTATGTTATTGTCGTCATTTTATTAAACATTTATCAGTTTTTGCAGTTTGTTATTTTTTACTTAATTCTTTTTACTTCTGCTAGTAAACTGGGTAAATGTTTTTTCTTTGTGAGTTACTAAATCGTCGTGATTAGAATTTATTTTATAGTGATGATAAACGCAACATATATAATTTAAAGAATTTTCAAATATATTATAAATAGGCTTAAATTAAAAATTTCTTTTTGTAATTAATTATTTCTACTCTTAACAGAAAGAAAAACATTTGATCATCTCTTTTCGAATGTTTCATGTTTTTGAATTCGCAGTATCTGTTTAAATTTTAATAGTAATAATCTAAATACTCCAGTTTAACTAATTCTATATTCAAGAATGTAGTGTTTAAATACATGTCTTATCACTGTTTCAACCAGTGCTAATTCTATTGTATATTCCAGAATATGCTGTTAAAATACATGTCATATCACTGTTTTAACCAGTGTTAGTTACATATAACACTGAAGAGAGAATACTTTAGATAACATTAAATCTTCGAAGAAACATTTTTGAATTAACGCAAATTATGACAGCAAATGCAAATGTAATAACCTTAAGGAGCTTCAAAATTAAAAAGAAATGCATGCAAGAAAAGTTTTGTGAGGGTATATTTAACTTTCAAAAGGGCATTTTATACAAATATAAGCTAAAATTAAGATTTTCTATGAAATATAGTAATTCAAAAGAAAATAAACATGTATAAATAGTTCTATGCAAAGTTTTGCGAAGAACAGATTTGCCCTCCCAAAGTGCGCTTTTTTTAAATAATTATTATTAAATTACTCAATTAACTATAAGAATTAAAGTAAACGATGAAATACTTAGAAATGGACAATAGTAAACTTTTCCGATATTTAAATTGAAGGAAACGATAAATTATTAAATTGAATACATTTAAGCTATATATAATTAAAATTGAAGTAAACGATATATTACTAAATTAAATATATCAGCTACATGTAATTAAAATGGAAGGAAACGACAAATTATTAAATTGATTATATTTAAATTAAATCTAATTAAAATTGAAGAAAACGATAAAAAATTGATAAGTGATCTGGTACGCCTAGTGATCCACCTAAGACAATAGCCCCTTGGGTGACATTTTTTTTAATTTATTTTAAATATTTACATTTTTTTTTATTGAAAATACAGAATATACGCTTACCTAGGGACACTAGTCTGTTGAAAACATATCACTTACATTAGAAAGAAATGGTAGCTCGAGTTCCGAATGTTGAAATTTTCTTTAACAGTCATTTTAATTTTCACTTTATTGCGATATTAAAAAAAAACTTCTATTCATTATAAAATCTTTGAGCAGTCCATTCTATATATAAGATTTTGAAAAATATAGATTTAATTTCAGGTTTATTGATGCGTAACATTTTGAGACATTGTGTTCTGCAATAATAAGAAATAATGTCGATTTTTGAGCTTTTCTAGTCAGAGAAATTCATGATCAAGTATATTGAAACACCTGAAACTCAGTTTCTAAATAAGATAGAAGCAAAACTCAAACAGATTCTTAAAGACGGAGGATTAAATTTTAATATAAGACCAAGAATTAAAAATATCTACATCTTGAGCAAAAATTGTGTTTCAAGATGTATCGTCACCTTAAAGTATTTCAATTATTCAAAAAATGTTTTACTTCCCTCTAAAAAGTTGTTTTGCCCCTTTGACTCCTTTTGAATCTCTTTGTTCTGGTTTAATGTTACTTGGTAATTTATATAGCGCTTTCGGAAATACAAATATGTACTTTTAAAATATTTGGATGTTTGAAAATACATTAAAATGGAAGTGAAAAAATGTATCAATATTTAAGAAGATATTAACAACTGTGGTTTGATCTATGATGTGAATATGTACATTTTCCACATAATTTAATGTTTGATTTTGTTTGATTTAATTAAAGTCATTTGATAGTGTTCACGTATCTGTTAGTTAGGAAGATAAGAATATTTGATACTATCCAGTTTCAGTTAATTATGTTCGATGGTCGTTCTAATTTTGTGTCAGAACCAAAAAAAAAAATGATAACACTTAACTATTACATACTAGGAGGGAGGGAGGGGAGAATTAGTCAAGCATTCATCTTCTTGGACTGAGAAGTATGGAGCATTACGTTCCCCCTCATACTGAATTTGAAATTTGAAATAGATTGTGATTGCTTTTTAACGCTACACTGAGGGATACACTAGAGCTATCTCAACATTTTGAACCTCGGTCATTTGACACCTAATCCAGTATCTTCCTCACCAACCTTCCCCGCCACTAGGAAACTTCAATCAGATTAACTTGCATCAGCCCCGATACATGGTCGGTTTTTAGTGGCATCAGGGTTCGAACCCATGAGTCGACGAAAACAACGCCAACTGCGAGTCCGCAACCATAACCATTAGGCTACCACAGCCACGAATTTGAAATGGAATTTATTTCTATTTCAATAGCTCCTCATGATACCCCCTTGATCGTCTTTGGTAGAATGAGAAATGTATAACAATTCCAGAAGGACATATAAGCCAATACCCTCTCAACTTGAGATCTTTGAAATTCATTCGAGTTTAATATTAAATGACTCCCCACCATTCCAATGGACTGTTTTTTCAGGCATTGAAACTGAACTAGTGATGTTCTCCCAGGCTATTACGGTAAATGAAGTGCAACAGTTTTAGTGAAAATCATTAATACTCTTCTGATAACAGTCAAATTTACCTAATTTCCAACCTCCGAAACAACTGTCCAGCCACTTAAAAAACTAATTCTCAATCATGAAGCACACACAGTTAGATCAGCATCAATAAACTTAGATTAACCTATCTACACATTGTAATTACATTACGCAATCTGTAATTACCCCGTTGATAGCGCTGCGGTATCAACAAAGGTAGCAAACTGATTAATGGACAAAACAACCTGCAGCAATGATGACCTTGAGTTGTTTGGTCTTTTTGCTCATCAATCTGATATAGGACGTCTGTCTGAACTGAACTTCCGCCCAGACGGTGAAGCCCTACGGACATCACGTGACCCCAGGGTCCGACAAAACTCATCAGAGAGGTCATCCGTAATTTCCTTTAATCTGATCGACATAAAAAGAAAAGGGGCCGTAAACCATGAAGAAAAATCGTGCAAAAATGTTTGATGGAAATCGTTGAAAGAAAAATGAAAATTGATGGAGGAACATTTTTCACTTTTAATTGTTTTCAGGTGTTATATTCAATATGGATTTACTTAAGAAAGATTAATAAGATTCATTAAAACAAAGATGTAAAAATCCATCATTATTAAATTTATTTTTAGCGTTCACCTATACTTAGTTGAAAAAATTAAAAGTTTTCCCTCATTTCAATATGAACCATAAAAAAATAATACATTTCCACAAAAAAAATGTCTGTAAGTACAGCAGGGCCTCATTAACAATCGAGTTGAAATCAAAGTTACTACAAACATAAGAGCCTATCCCCCCAAAAAAACAGTTCTTTTATTTAATAATTTCTAAATAACTTAATTTTGAGAGACCCCGGTATAATTTAGTCTCAGAAGCAGCAAAACTTTGTACAGCCATCAGATAACCATATTTTATTATCCTTACTGGGAACCAAGTGAAAAAGAATTATTTTCCTCGAAAATTCTCCCCGAAATTACTCCTTTTTCTAAATTACGCAAATCTGTATAACAATTCAGTTTAGGTAGATCATTAATGCAATACAGGATGCTTCGAAACTCACAGACAGAAATTTAAGGTGTGATGGAAAACATCTAAACAAACAATTTTCACCATACAATGCATAGGTGAAGAGCAAGTGGTGAACAGTTAGACAGCTGTAATGGAAAGCATGAAATGAGAGTTTTCTTACACATCGTCATTTCTACAATGAATTTCAGGACACATGGTGTCATACAGTAATGTGGAAAAGACCATACTCCTGAAATCCACGATAGAAAAGACGATGTGTAAGAAAACTCGCGCTTTATGCTTTCCATCACAGCGCCGTCAAGAAGGTCACCACACACTCTCCGCCTATGCATTTTTGGTTGAAAATTCCTAAATGCTTTACATCACCCCTCAAACTTTTACCTTTGAGTTTCAAAACACCCATTAGAACTCAGAAATGAGATAATAGAAATGTAGTTAATCATTTTTCTGCATCGTCAATATTGGGACTTGATTTATTGTTGAAAGTTGTTCAAAAGCAAACCTATAAGACAAAAATGAGGTTTCTGAAGTCCCGCACTATTCATTATTACATTTTTTACGTAACAAATTGGCAGAATTGCATCCTAAATCCGTAGCAGAGAAGTAATTCATCCAAAACGGATATTAAAATTCATATTTCTGAGAAAATGGTTTTGTCATCAACACTCATATAACAATAACTTTCTACAAGAGTGATATCAATATAATTAGTTAGATAAATATAAAAATATATAATTTTAAATAACAGAAAATAGAAATTTATAGAAGCATTATCTGATGTGGTTGCCCTCATATCTAAGTAATTCCAAAATTTATTAATTTTTATTGATCCTCATTATAATGCAATGCAGTGTCCCCAATTTCAGAACTAATTGATACAGAAACCTCGATGATTGCTTCAATTATTTCCCTTTAACTGTCTCGAAATATATTTATAATCATGCAGGAAACATGTGGGTAAAGCAATAGTTATCCCCCTCCATATAGAGCTTAAAGAATCTTAATGAAAGTACCTCTCAAAATAATAGTTGGTAGTCTATATTTGGAAACCTATGCAGTCAGTTTAGTTTAATTGAATTCTAAAGATCTCATAGTAAAGTTATACAAATGGAAATTCATTCAAAGGACATGAGACCAGCTTATTATGCTAACTTAAGCATGCACAGTATATTAAAAGGAACAAAAGGTAATTATAAATCGATATCATCTAATAATACATGTAATCACGCGTGTTTGTGTGTGGACGTGAGTGCAAAATTATTCTTAATTAGCAAAATTCCTAGAAGAGTTGCAATTCTTAAAATTACTCAATTTCATACAAATTGCATTAGAAGTTATTTCAAAATCCTGTTAAAACTAAAAATAAGTTTTCAATTTCTATTCTTAATAATATTTTATTAATATGTTGTTTTTTTTTAAAAAAATACGCTGTATTTAATTCCGATTGTATTAAATGAATGGTTTGTTATTTTGTTATTGTAGCGTAATAGCTGAAAATAAGAACATGAACCAAGAAAACGAAAAAGTCAAAACACTATAAATTCAGCAATACATTTTTATTTTTGAAATAAAAAGGAAATTTAATGAACGTTAATTAGTTTTAAGATTTTGAATATGAAAAATAGAGAGTTTAATTCGTCATTTTAATTGAAAATACAAAAAAAATACCCATTTAAAAAATTCATACTTTCGCAAACGAATTATGTGTCCTAATTCGAAATTTTTAGCAAATTAAGAATTGCTGCATATTAATTCATTAAAATTGTCTTATTTTATGACTTTCATGTAATGCGCTCGAGTTTAACGGAGAAAATTAATACAAAGCCCCATTTACATGTATATGTAATCTATGTCGGAAGTATAGAGCAATACCCAAAAAACCGAAAAAAAGGAGTACTAATGAAAGAAAAATTCTAAAAATAAATCTAACACGTAGAAATTAAAGCGCAAAATAGGGGAAATTTTCAACGAGAGATAACCCAGATATTTGGAGAGAGTTATATGTGTGTAAGTATGTGTGCGTGCGTGTGTCGGTGTGTGTGTGTTCTACTTATTCTATTATATGTTATTATAATATTAAAATTATTATATGTGCAAGAAATACCAAAACACACCATATAATTTCTCATCATCAAAAGTATAATGCGACCACAGTAGTCGAATGGCCATGGTAGTAAACACTTGGTGCAAATGAAATAATAAATTATGCTGTTTAAATATTTACTTATTTCTTAAATTCATTTCCAAACGAGCTCCTTCATCCTTAGCTCAATTTAGCATTGTATTTATTGTAAGGAATAATGAACTCCCAAGCTTAATGATCATGATCGTGAGCTCATGACTGGCGTTGATTCCAACATGTCATTTGGTTGAATTTTAATACCACTTAAAATCCATTGAATAAAGGTAGGAGGGTTGATGCACGTTAAATCAACTAAGACTCATTGTTCTAACTTTAAAATGTGGTGGTTAAAAAATTAGGAAAGCTTGCCACTTTATGAAGCTGAACTTTTACCCGACATTTGTGCCATAACTCAATTAAATATAACTAATACTAAAAGTCAATAACCTACAGAAGAAGACACTAGACAAATCTCTCGCAACTATTTATTTGATAGCCTTGCAGTATAATGTCTGAAGTATATGTGCTCTCCTGGATAACACCCTAGATAAGTTCACCTATTCAACTATTACCGAATTAATAATGT